AAAAAAAAAAAAAAAAAAAAAAAAAAAAAATAATAATAATAATAATAAAATAAAATAAAAAAATATAAAATTAGACTTTCAGATTTACGGAAAAGTCATTGAGATTTTATTTCGTTTTGTATATTTGCCTACATAAGCAAAAACATTTCAAAGCCCCCCCTACATTTATAAAAATATTACAAACCAAACCAGATGTAGTTTTCATAATGTTCACTTCAATGGGGTCATTTGTAATTTCACAGGATAAAGATTTTTCTTTTTGTAAGAAAACTATATTTTAGCAGAGGTCACAGTACAACTCCTTTTTTCTTTAAGCACATCATTTGCAGGGGTTTTAGGTTTAATACACTTTCCATATGATTGTTGAAGAAACTTACTACTAATTTCAAATGTTACTTTCCACATTGTTCAATGTCTTCTAATGCATCAAATTTGCTTCCACAGACAATTTCTCTGAACTTGGGTTATCCAAAGGGGGCAGTGAAGCATTTTCCTGTTAATGTAAACACTGCCACCGTTATAAGTAATGCACATCTCGTGATATACGGATCGTTTCTCGACGAGCATTCTTTCCCCGACATTTTGCTGAAAGCCATGTGCTTGGAGAAACCTATAGTAGCCCCGGATCTTCCATCAATACGAAAATATGTATGTAATATTTTTCATGACATACTTTATGTGCAATTTCCATGTTAGCTGCTTTAGCTGGCTCATTGATAATGGAATATGCTTTGAGTTTGCTGGAAACCTAAACCTGCCCTTTTATCCATCTTAACATCTCAAAAAAGAAAAAAAATAAAAAATAAAAAAGGGAAAGATAAATCATTTGCATAACATAACATTCATAGGTTTCAAGATATAGGCTTGTCACGTTAATTCAAACAAACAAATAAACAAAAACTCTCTTCTTTTATAATTATTACAAGAACTGCTTCAGTATGGTTGATTGTTTATATTTTCTAAAATGAAAATCAAGTAGTGGTATATTAGCAAATGCAAAAGCTATTTGTTTTTGAAAATCTTGATTTAGTTTTGTGGGCTCTGTCCTTTAGACCTGATATGCTCAGTATATTATTGACAATCTTAGATCAGTCACAAGGTGAATGGTTATATTTTCCCGAAGGAAGACATGAGTTTTCTCAGTCAGATAATATTACGAGCCGTCTCGAATGGAAAACTCTCCCTCTTAACCACTAACATCGCGTCTATGGGAAAAAGTACAGCTAAAAACCTAATGGCCTCAGAAAGCGTGGAAGGTTACACGTCACTACTCGAAAACATTCTCTTTCTACCCTCAGAGGTTTTTGTCCCCAAAGCTGCCAACAATATTCCTGAAAAGCTGAAAGGCGAATGGCAGTGGCATCTTTTTGAAGCAATTGGAGGTACTCATTCCCTTTACCGAGCCGGGACTGAGTTTTTGGATAGAGTCGAGAAGCAATTTAATGGTAGCAGTGGAAATAAAGCGGTGGCTTCAGGTGAGAAGTTTTCGTATGAGATATGGGAAGAGCAAAAGTACATTGATACTATCACTGTAAGAAAGAGGAGAGAGGATGAAGAGGTTAGTTAGTGGATTTTTTTTTTCTACTTTCATTTCACTATAAGAGTTTCCTAAGGAAAATGTGTGCATGTGAGAAAGAAAGTGTTGAAATACCTTAATATTGCCCTTGAATGCATTTTAGTCGATGAATTAAGCTGTATAAGCAGAAAAATTTGGGCAAAACATCTTTATGCTTTGGTCTTGAGAATGTCAAAACTGAAAAATCACCATTTGAAGAATTATTTAATGAGCCAACGACATTTTTTTTTTTTACTTTACAAGTTGCACCGTCACGAGGGAGGTGTTTGTTCAGGTAAAACCTCAGGGGAGTATTTGTAGCACTTGAAGGGGGGTACTTGTAATTTTTTAGAGAAAATTAACTGTTATCTAGGCTAAAACCTGAAGGTTAATTTTTTAAAAGATTAGTAATCTCCTATTGCTTCTTTTTGGCTCTTACTTTCTCCAATTTTTCTTTTCTTGATAATTGGAAACTAAATGCAGTTGAAGGATAGAACAGATCAACCTCGGGCAACTTGGGACGATGTATATAGAAATGCCAGAAGGGCAGATCGGTCATTACACGAAATAGATGACGAAGAACTCGAGAGGACTGGTCAACCACTGTGTATCTATGAACCTTACTTTGGAGTTGGGGCCTGGCCCTTTTTGCACCATACTTCTCTATATAGAGGGCTTGGGTTGGTAAGCACTCTACCTAATGCTATCGTACTATTATTTTGAAAAGGCGAGTTCTTTATTATTTTTATTTCCAAGTAATTTTATCCACTCAACCAGTGACATGCATGCAGTGAGCTGAAAATTCAATTTTGTACATTGAAAAATTTTCATGTTATGGCTGTTAAATTGTTAATCTGATGAAAATGTAATAAAATGGGGTTTTTCGTGCAGTCAACGAAAAGTCGAAGGCAATGGGTTGATGATATTGATGCTCCTTCGCGTCTCCCTCTTTTGAACGATGCTTATCATCGAGATTTATTGGGAGAATATGGAGCATTTTTTGCGATTGCTAACCGGATTGACCGTATTCACAAGAATGCTTGGATAGGATTTCAATCTTGGAGAGCTACTGCAAAGATGGTATGA